GTGAATGGGAAGGCCCTAGGTCCAATCCTCACTACCACACATGTGCATGCACACACACACGCACACACAAAAGAGCCAGAGAGCTGCCCAGCACATACTCTTTCTCTCTGCTTCTTGGCTCCCATGAGGTGAGCCGCCTTCTTCTGCCACTCTTCCTTTTACCATTACTATTATTTTTTGCCTCACCTTAGGTCTAACAATAGAGCCAGTTAACTGTGGTCTGAAACCTTGAACCAAAGTAAACCTTTCTTCCTTTTAAATTATTTTTCTCAGGAATTTTGTCAGAGACAGAAAGCTAACAAAAACCAGATACTTGTTTTATAGGAAGGCACTCCATTTGTTTTCTGACAGTCTTCTGAATTTCTTCGTCTTTGACAGTCTTTCATCTCTCGCCATGTTACTACCGGCAGAAGGTAGCATCTGTCCAATCATTTTAGTGATTCCTAAGAGTGGGCTGTGGAGGTCCTTGATGGTCACAGTAGACTCCTCTAAGCCCCTAGGTTTTACTTCCTGTGCTGAGAAGACTGTTGGTTGGATATACACTTGAGATTGCCATATCTTCCTGGTGGACTGATCATTTATCATAATGTCCCTTTGTCCTCAGAAGTTTCCTTTGGTCTAGCACAGACAGCCACTCCTGTTATTTTTATTTTTCCCAGTACTGGAGATTAAACCCTAGGCTTATCCATGACAGGCAATTGCTCTTCTACTAAGCTACATCCTCCGCCCTCTTGGCTTTTAAAAAATTAATGTTTGCATGACACACCTTTCTCATCCCATACTTTCAATCTACGTCACTAAGTCTGAGGCATGGAAGAGACAGCATCTTTGGCTGTGGGTTTTTACCCATTCTGGCAATCTCTGCCTTCCAGTATCCTGTTTAGAACATTCACATTTATGTTGTTATGGAAATCTCGGAAAGAAATACACAGAGACACAGAATTCGGATAAAATAATAAAATTCCTTCTCAAGGGGGGCCGGAATGCCAGAAACCAGTCTGGTCAGTATCCCCGACCCCTTTGTCTGCGTTTCCCTTTTTATATCCTTCTTAGCCATTATCTCATCCCTAGTGGTCTTTGATGTGTAAATACAATTCCAGTTCCTATTTACAAGGCACAGACACAAGATAGGCACATATACATTGTAAATTCACCCTGGAATGGTAACTTTGTTAGGTTAATGAAGTTATGGGTTAGAGTCAGATAATCGGCAGCTTAAACAAGGAGTTACAGGAAAAGCAAATCTTAAAAGAACCCATTACTTATTTTGCTTCTACAACTCCCTTAAATTAATATTCAATCTATTAAGTTATCTAAAACTTTTCTGTATCAATGTCACTGGCATAGGAGGGCTGAGGTCAGCCATTTGGTTACTATTTTGTGTCTGTTCTCTCATGCCTTACTATAGGATATTTTTAAATGTATTTATCCAATACATAATGTTTACATTCATTTTAGCAGGCACAGGAACTGAATAGATCTTGGTTCTTTTTACTCCCCTTTCCTCCTCTCCCCATCTCTTGGGTCTCACCTGGGATTACAGGTGTGCACCATCATGCCTGGCTAAACATCCACCCTCTTGAAACTTCACAGCAGGGATTACAGTTCAACACCTGAGGCATGGGAGACACTCAGCTGCACCAAGCTGAAGCAGAGGGTAAGTTATATTGATTTCTGCTTCCATCCTTCCTGCCATGCCTTCTCCTGGTACAGTTTTCTATTTAGGGAGATTCCTTTAGGCATTCCTCACAGTAGGTCTGCCAGCAACAAGTCCTGCTGGTTTGCCTTTTTCTCAAAACATCTTTTATTCTTCCTTCATCCCCAAAGAACGTCTTATTGGACAGAATTCACAGGTGACATTTTGTACACTTGAAAATGCAGGCCCCCTCTTTTCTGGCCTTCATGGCTCTGAATTAGACAGTTACTGTCAAAGGGGTGCCCCTCTACAGGCAATGCATCATTTCACATCGGCTGGTAATATTTTTTCTTCTCTCTTTAGTTTTCAAGTTTAATATGACAAGTCCAGGTATGGAGTTTTGGAGAGCTTATTCTTTGAGGGCTTGCTCAGCTTCTTGAACTTGTATATTTATGTCTCACCAAATTTGGAAGTCTTCAGCCATTACTTCTTTAAATATATTTTAGTTACACATACACTCTCTCTCGTTCTAGGATGCTGGTGTACGAATTGTTATCCTACAGACCTCTATGACTCAGTTCATTTTTTTCCCCTACTCTATGTCCTCTCTGTGGCTCAGACAGAGTAAATTCTGTTGCTCTATTATCTCCACTGTGCTTCCAATGATGGACATATCTTGGTTATTGTATTTTTTCAAATCCTATGATTTCCATTTTCCATTTGCCGTTTATAACTTCCATTTCTTTGCTAAATTTGCTCGTTTTTTCACTTGCTTCAAAAGAATGTATATTACTTGTTATGGGTAATTCTATTTTAAAGCATTTTTTAAATGAGTGCTTTAATTCACATATTTCACGTTGTGGTCTTCCTGGTTCTTGGTACGACAAATGATTTTCAAATGTACTCTGGACACCTGTCCCATTTAATTCTTCTATGCTGGCAGGTAGCCACCTCAATGATAGTGTGTAGATCTATAGTCTACAGTGCGTAGATCTATAGTCTAGTGTAGATCCTGGCCTACTTTTGTGGCATGTTGCTCCAGTGTGGGTTTTGTCTTCAGGACTCTTGCAACACCCTCCTGGTCTGCTTTATCCTCTGGCACTGGGAAGAGGGAGGGTGTTCATCCCTGTTGGTGTCACCTGTAGGGTTGGAAGTGTTTCCTGGATGCCTGGGGTTACTGAGTCTCCATGTGCCACAGCGGAGGGCCGGGTGTTCTCAGGCCCTGGACACACCCTATGTGGTAGGGAGCAGGGCTAGCTTTTGGCTGTCCTGGGGCAGACTGTAAAGTGAGTTTGGAGCTCCCCACTAGGCCTCTGGTTGGCATCCCCTTTCCCAGTCAGAAAGGAGGTTTTCCTTGAAGATTTGTCTATCTGCTGGCTGTACTGGGTGACAGGGCTCTCTGGTCCCTGGTTCACAACACTGGTACATAGAAGAGAAAAAAACCCAGGGACTCTTGGTATTATCATCCTCCAGTCCTGGGTCCTTAGCCAGTATGACTTAGTTCCAGCTCTCGGGTCCTTTCTTCGTTGACTGTTGTTATTTGGCGATATTCAGTTGTATTTAGGTAGAGAAAGCAGGGAAAAAAGTCCTGCCCTGCTCATTTAAGCATGTATTGTCACTGGTCTTGACCACAACATCATGGCTTCACTGCCATACTCTCTGGCTGGTACCAACCTGGCCCTAAACACCAGTCAGGTGTTCCTTAAAAAACAAACCCTCAGACCTGGGCTGGGGGTTTGGCTCAGTGGTTCCACCACCTGCCTTGCAAGCACAGGGTCCTGAGTTCAATACCCAGTACCAAAAAAAAAAAACGCCCCCAAAAACTCAGACCTGATTTCCAAAGCTCCACCTTCAACCTGCCTGCCACTCCCCTTTCCACCACTGAAGATGGTGGCTTAGCTCTGCTTCATTTCCTGGGATAGTGTCGGCCTCCTTCCCTTATGTGGCTCCTGCAGCCACCACAACAAAGGACCACAGGGTAGCAACTTACACTACAGACACTGGTGCCTTACAGTCCTGGGTTCCAGAGTCCAAGTCAGGATGGCATCAGGGTGGCAACAAGGTGGGTTCCTCCTGGTCACTCTGGGCAACTGTGGACAGACACTTCATGCTCACAAACTTCCCTTATGAGGACAGAAGTCTCACTGAATTAGGGCCCACTCTAGTGACCTCCTCCTAACTTGGTGAGCCCTGCTAAGG